GCGACTTCACTTCACTTTCCTTCACAGAGGAGGTGTGATGCTGGGCCTTCAAGGATGGGCTTGCCTCAAAGAGAATGGTAGGAGGAATAATCTTGGCAGGTTGAAGGCTGCAACACGAGGCTGGGACTGAGGGCTGGGCCTCAGAACGACAGATTCCTTACTTTCAACTTGAATTACGTTGTATAGGAATTTAAACCGGGGTGTGTTGTGTGTAGAAAGTCTGTTTGAGGACGATTGGTGTGAAAGATTGAAAGGAGGAGAGAATTGATTGAAAGTAAATAATCCCGGCAAGAGATGGTGAGCCCTGTTGTATGAATGGATTGGAATAGATGGATATGGTGGACTTTGGGGCATAAAATCATGAGCACTTCATACAAAACATGAGTATGGAACCCTGGGGTTGGCCAACCTTTAAGGGAGAGGCAGAAGAAACAAAAATCTCTTTGAGAGACTGAGTGGTGTGATGGAAGAGGATGGAGAGGATGGATTCCAACAAGAGTGGTGATGCTCAGCAGTGTCAGCCTCACAGGGAACACCCAGGACAGGCTGAGAAGAGACCTTTACAAACAAGAGATTCAGGTTGCTGGTGAGCCATGGGAGAAATGACTTTAGAGTCCTCCAGGACTGGAGAACACAGCTGAACACTTACAATGCTCAAGCTGCATCATGATTCCCAGGGAAAGTCTCTAACATTTATATGCATTTGTGTAAGGGTATATGCATAGACATCCAGTTACCCAGGCTCTTGGCTTCAGGGAGAAGGGTGGGGGACACTTAGCTGACAGTGTCAGCTGTCAGTTCGCGTGTTCCCGCACAGTAGTTCCACCTGTGCTCTCTAGGGTCTCAGAGAGCCGATTTCTTTCAAACACCATGACTCCGTGCCATTTTGTCTTATTACTGGAGCATACTGGAGTAGGTAGATGCCTGGAGACTTTGCTTTCAATTGCAAGTGAAAGTGTTAGTTGCTTAAGTCGTGTCCAACTCTTTGCAACCTTATGGACTGTAATCTACCAGGCTCCTCTGTCCATGGAATTCTCCAGACAAGAATACTGGAGTGGGTTGCCATTTTCTTCTCCAGGGGATCTTCCCAACCCGGGGGTCGAACCCAGGTCTCCTGCACTGCCGGCAGATTCTTTACCGTTTGAGCCTCCAGGGAAGCCTCATTTCTGGCCACAATGCTTACAGTGCTCTCCACTACTGAGGCGCTCACTGTCCACCTGCTGGGAGTGTAGGCGGCTAGCGATACCGGGAATTGTCCTCGGCTGAAGGAATATCCCTTCACCCAAGATCATCACGTCTGGGACTGGGCTGGGGGACAGCCTGCATGCAATGACTGGTCATTGGAGGTGAGAGAGAGGTCCCCGTGCCTCGGGGTAGGGTGATCCTGAAGAGTCAGCCCGGCTTCAGAGCACCTGTGGGAGCAGATGGAATCTGTATTCCTCCCCGTTGCTCTAATTCCTTCATCTGCTCAGTCCAGACTCTCTTCACTCGCTCCCCACTGGTGTTGGTTCTGAGGCACACCCTGACTAACTCCCTCTGTGTAAATCTCAGCCCTTCTCAGAGTCTGTTTCCTGGGGAAACACCCTAACTTGATTGTTTCTGGTTTAGTTGCCTACCCAAGTTGCCATCATGCTCTGTAGTCCCTCTGACCTTTGCTTCTGCGCCCCCTCAGTATGGCCCCCCTCTCCAAGCAGCTGGAATCAGAATGCTGGCATTGAGTCTTCTTGAATCTGATTGGCGGGGCCACCTATCTGTGAATGGCCCATTTGAGGAGTGGAAGGAACCTAGAAGTCGGCTGCTTGGCTCCTCCTGAGACCTCCCCATTAACCCCAGCCCCAAGGAGAGGTTTGTGAGGTAGGGGACCCCTCGGTGTAGAAGGGTGTCCCTACTCTGCACCCTGATTTTGCTTCTGCCTCCCCTTCCACCACCCTCCCCTGCTTCCCAGGCTCCTTAAGGCAGTTAGTAGTCACCATCCTACGTCTTGGGGCTTCCCTTGATATCTCAGTTGCTAAAGAATCCACCTGCAGTGCAGGAGACCCTGGTTCAATTCCTGGGTCAAGAAGATCATGTCTGCCTTGTAGAGTTCTTGCCAGGGTTACAGATGTGTGTTCAGCACGTAGTAAGGGCTCACTAAATGAACGCATTCATTCGTTCATTCATTCACGCATTCAACACTTACTGAGGATAGGCTACCCACTCCAGTATTCTTGGGCTTCCCTTGTGGCTCAGCTGGTAAAGAATCTACCTGCAATGCGGGAGACCCAGCTTCAATCCCTGGGTTGGGAAGATCCCCAGGAGAAGGGAAAGGCCGTCCACTACAGTATTCTGGCCTGGAGAATTCCATGCACTGTATGGGGTTGCAAAGAGTCAGACACGACTGAGAGGCTTTCACTTTCCCTTTCATCCTACATCTCCTTTCTTTCGTTCATTTTTTTTTTTTTTAACATCAAGAAAAATTAACGTTGAAAACAGTCGAGATATTTCAAGCAAATGTAGAACCTCTCGAAATTTATTGCAGAAACACCACTGAGCAAACAAACTCCTGGGAAGCGCAGCTTAGAAACAAACAGCAGCTGCCACCATGTGTGGGCCTCTCTCCCCCACCCCCATTTTCCTCACTTCTTTCTAGTTCCGTTTGTTATAAAACCTACTGCTCTAATGGTCTAGTAGTTTAACAAACACAATTTTTCTTTTCCATCTTGAGGCGCCTCCAGTGACTTTTAGCTCTGGGGTCACCATGCTCAGAGCTCTAGGCCCTTTCTTTGTCTTGTCTTATGGTGCTGTCTGGGACTTTGTACATGCCTCCTTGACCAAGGTGAGGCAGAGATGGAATTTCTGGACTTCTCCATCAGTCTGTAGTGGGGTTTCTTGCCTTCCTGGCTTTATAACAATGGATAATGCTAATTCCAGTTTTGTGAGTGACTTAAGTGCTTCTACTGTTTTTTTGTCTTACTATTTTTCTTAACTTGTTTTCTCTGTGGGATTTTTTTAAATGCATAATTTAAAAGAATATTTCTATTTATTTATCTGGCAGGGTCTTAGTTGTGGCACATGGGATCTTCGATCTTCGTTGTGGCATGTGGGAGTCTTTAGGTTCTCGGGATCTTTTATTTACTTATTTTTCAAAAAATTTATTTATTTGGCTGTGCTGGATTTTAGTGGTGACATGGGAAATCTTTTAGTTGGGACAGGCGAGCTCTTAGTTGCAGCACATGGGACCTAGTTCCTTGACCAAGGATCGAACCCGGGGCCACTGCACTGGGAGCATGGAGTCTTAGCCACCAGACCATGAGTGAAGTCCCTCTGTGAGGGATCTTTGAAGGCACATCGTAAAGTGCTTTTCTTGGGCCTGACTTAATGAAAGCTGTCACTTTAATGAGCTCTAACTTGTCACATTAAACTCATTTATCTTCTTCTCCATGAATATGAGCACTTCTCCCTTTAAATGTTATAGAGGTGTGGGATTCCTCAGCTTAAAAAACGATTCCTATTAGATTGCTGACTATGGGCAGGTGGGTGCTAACTCCTCACCTGCTCTTTCCCAGGACTCTCCTGTGTAGATGTCATCCCCGTTTTATCTGCACAGAGACTGAATTGCTCTTCCAGGGGATCTTGGATTCAGGCAGCCACACCAGCCAGAGCTCGTGTTCAGCCCAGGTCTGTCTGAACCTAAAATCCAAAAAGGTCTGTCTAAAAACCTAAAAGGTCTGTCTGAACCTGTCCCCTCTGCTGCTCAGCCACTGTCATGCCATTTGGCAGTGCTCCGAAAACCTGTTGACTGGAGGTGGGAAATGCTTTTTAGGTCAGAGGTTGAAGTCTTTTTCCTTTGTCCCTCAGTATTTGTTGTTGTGTGTGTTGTTTTATGTGTTTTTTTTAAGTGAGTTAATGCCTAACATTTAAAAATGAGGAGATCTCACATTATGCAAAGTGTTCAATTTCATTTCAAAGAAATTTTTAGACCTGGTAAGACTGTGCTCATAGGTTGAAGCGACAGCTGTTGGTTCCAGCTAGGCATCCCCCTCCACCTGCAAAGGAGACATGACTTCCTCATCCTGCCACAGGCCTCCGTGGCCTTCCTCTCTCTTTTTGGTTACTTGCTTGCCCTGTGTGGACATGTGCGTTTGTGATCCTGATCTAGGCCTTTAAAGAAATCATTTCTCTCCAAGTAGGAATCAGAAGAGATCAAAGTCACTTTCTGCCTGTGAGTTGAATTTTATAGGCTTTGATTTTTCTTTTTGACTTTTGGTGTTGGTAATTCAGGAATAACAGACACAATTATTGGATATTTACTGAGCACGGGAACATTTAGTGACTCTCAGGTTAGCAGACACCTGTTCGTGGGTAAGAATGTGCGTCATTCTCCAGTTTCCTTTGCATTCTGGGTCCTGCCGGGACCCTCCAAGTCCTGCAAGAACTGGAGGCTGTCTGCAGAAGTGTGTTTTGCAGAGGCAGCATTGTCGGGAAGGGAGATGAATTCAGAGGAATACTTTCTGAGAGAGGAAGTTAGGTGGATTCCATTTTCTCTTGAAAACTGTTGACTACCGCTGGAAGATTGCCCCACAGTATAGTAGCGCTCCTCTCTCAGCTGCCAGTGTTCAACATAGGGAGCAGATCAGACATGTCAAACAGAAAGATCTTAAAAATTAGAACCCCCTTAGATTGATGTGTCTTTCATTTTATGCCAATGTACCTACAAGTGTATTTCCATTTGACAGTACGAAATGTGTTAATTCTTTTTTTTTTTTTTTTTGTTTCCATGAAAGTCTTGTCTCCTTTTGTCTGATTTAAACACATCTCGTAGAAGTGTAAAATAGAAACAAATGGATTTTGTCTCATTTCATAGCTGCAGCTGAATTAAATTTTAATACTCTTTAATATTAACATGAGAGCCTCCCCAAAGCTGTTATTTATTTGCTAATTTTAAATGTGCATTTGCTTTTGATTAAGACAATGGCTAGAGTATTGTATTGAATTTTTATTGTTTATTTCTTTTCTTTCAGGACCCCGCAGGAATCTTTGAATTGGTGGAACTTGTTGGCAATGGAACATATGGACAAGTATATAAGGTAAGTTCATTGAGCTTGAACATGGCTCATGTGTGGTTTCGGTTCATGAATGCTGAATAGCAGTACTGTCTGTTCTCACTCATACATGTCTCATAACAGATTTAAAATGAAATAATATACTTGTTAATTGACTCTCCATCTTTTTATTTTTTATTTTATTTTATTTTTTTTTCTCCATCTTTTTAAATGAATCTGTAGTCCCATTGCCTAAACTGAATTCTGGGGTTTGGGCATTTCCATTCATTATATGTTACAGAGCTTGTATCTGACGTGTGAATTCTAACGGTATGTACTTGAAGCTCTCTGAAGTGTTTAGTTTCGTTAATCGCTGCCAGAACTGGTTTTTAAAGGCGCGAATGATGCTGTTTACTTTAGAAATAAATATTAAAGTATCACAGCTGGAAAAGGAGATTTGCTTCTGGCCTAGGGCATGAGTTAAATGAGTTTAGTGAACAGTGTTAGGAGAACACTGGCTGACTCGCAAGCGCAGAACTAATGGCAGCATGACTCTTACAAAATAGGAAATAATTAAAAGCTAAACTTGAGGTTGAGTTGAGGAGTAAAATGTTCTTGTTCTTATACTAATTTTTGCTTTCAGGTTCACCTTAAACATGCTTTTAAAAGATATTTTCTCCAAGTAAATGACCTAAAAATGTGATTGTTTAGAAAAGTGTCTTGATTCTCCTGATTATCAAAAGAAAATCAAAATTACCTTTTTGAACTAAAGCTCGGGGGGGGGGTTTAGTGAATGAGCTATTGAAATAAATGCCTTCAATACAGACCAGTTGTTTCCTCATGATTATTTTAAGAGAAATATCTATCACTTTTCCTGAGTGGTAATAATATGGGATGGCATTTCAACTGTAAATTCTGTCTTGTTGTTCTATTTCTTAAAAATTTCCTTCTTTGAATCTTAAACATCTCTTAGTTGATTAAATTATTGAAGTCCACCAGATTGTAATATTTTCAGTGCTACAGAATGTCAAAAGTATATGTGTGTGTGTGTATATATATTTAAGTGTATGTAAATTATTAACATTTTAACTTTTTTTTTTTTACCAGTTGGTACCCTTTGGTGTCCACTCGGGAAAATTTCACTCTTGCAAAATATGATTATTTCCTAAAAGGTCAGCCCCCTGCAATTAGAAAGAATGTAGTCTACCCCAGCTGTTCACTTGATGTTGATCCCATCTGACACAAGAAAGAAAGGTGTCTCAGCAAATGCTTTTAAATACTTTCAGTGAAGATAATTAGGTTGGAAGATCATGTTATTGCATTTCGAGAAATTGGATTGAACTTGTGAATTAATGTGAGCTAATGAATTAGGCCCTGATTTAGGCAGAAAATTACTTCTGATTTGCTGTCAATATGGAGAAACAACTCTGTATAATGCTGTTGTTTAAATTTATAGTACCGTTCCATCGTGCTATGCTTCCCACCTGTAGAATGCACGTTTGAAAGGTGATTCACAGCTTTGTCCACTAATCTAAGAGGTGGACTATACACTCCTGCAAGAGAGGATAATCACAAGATAAGGATTCTCAATTAAGGATGAGAATGTTTGGAAAATCCAAAATGAGCCCTAATTTTTTTTGTACCTGAGGGGGAAAAGAACACAAGTGGCAAGAGGTCTCAGCTCTTTAGAGAGGAAAGAAATACACCAACTGAGTTGCTAACACCGTTGTTCTAAAGGGTGCCCTTCTCTTAGTGGTTGGTTCAGAAGTTTGGCCCCTGTCAAGCTGAGGGGAGACTGCAATACTGGTCACGGTGATCACATTGGATTTGCAGACAGGAGACTTGGTTCCTTGTGCTAGTCCTTTGTGGTGTTTTGTGGCACCACAGCTTTCCTGTGCACTAGTCAAGTGAGAGTGTTGCTATAGATGCTTTGGGGACTTGGAACGATTTATCTGAAGAATTAAACCTCCATACCCGGTTAAGGATTGGGTTTCTAGGCAACCCAGATGACATTAGGTGGCACCCCCTCCAGGACAGAGACACCTAGGCTTCCTGAGTCACTAATCCAATCCTGCCGTTACTCTGAGCTCTGAAGGATTAAAGCTCAATAAAACTGCCAGATTGGATTTCAACTGTACGTGAACTTAAAGAGAAAGAAGTTAGGAAGTGATTGTTCACATTATAGGTTATGTTTAACCTTTATGGACTAGGTATATTTTTAAAATACTGTACACATCAATATAAATTTTATAGCCCTAGAAACAGATTTCTATATCAAAAATTCTATGATACTTTCTTGACATTCAGTATTAAATCTTTTAATTTTTGTAACTCTAGCTTTTGTTGTTCCTAGATTTCATAAAATGCGGTATAATTTCATGGACAATGATGTGGATGGATGTAGCCTTTCTTTTCTGGAAAGATTCTTCAAAGTTTCTTTTAATAAGTTGTCCTAAAGGAGTCATAATATAATTTTATTCACAAGTAGTTTTTTTAAGATGTAGAATCTTTAAAAAAAATTAATTATTTATGTTTTGGCTGTGTTGGATCTTCATTGCTCCTTGGGCTTTTCTTTAGTTGCAGCAAGTGGGGTCACTCTCTAGTTGAGGTATTCAGGCTTCTCATTGCAGTGGCTTCTCTTGTTGCAGAACACGGGCCCTCAAGTGCTTGGGCGTCACTAGCTGTGGTTCCCGGGCTCTGGAGCACAGGCTCAATGGTTGTGGTGCACAAGCTTAGCTGCTCCACGGCATGTGGGATCTTCCTGGACCAGGGATCGTGTCTCCTGCTTTGGCAGGCTTCTTCTCTACCACTGAGCCTCCAGGGAAGCCCTACAAGTAGTTTTTTAAGAAGCATACTTAGTTGAATAAACAAAAGTATATGTAGATATTAAGAGAATGTTTCTTGGAGTATATCTTCATTTAAGCCACATACATCTAGATGTGGAAATATATTTTATATAAAGGTCATTTAGTTACATTTAGCTTTTCGAAGTAGCTTCTAGTTTTACTCCCAAGTCTAACTTGGTCTCTCTGTCCTTGGAAAGTTAGATTTGTTTATCTTTTGCATTTTGATCCTGTGTAGTCAGGTGCCAATTCAGTATCTGTTTTTTGCTTTACTTACTGGACAGTATACATAAATAATGAAGAGTAGAGAGTCTCTGTCAGGGTTTTTTTTTTTTTTTTTTAAATGAGGAAATCATCTTCTTGGGCCTATAAAAGTGAAAAAGTGAAGTCGCTCAGTCATGTCTGACTCTTTGTGACCCCATGGACTGTAGCCTACCAGGGTCCTCTGTCCATAGGGGTTTTCCAGGCAAGAATACTGGAGTGGGTTGCCATTTCCTTCTTGGGACTATGGCTCCCATTAAAAAATAAACCAAGAAAAGGCCACATACCTGCTTGCTGGAGACTTTGGCTGTTCATTAGCATGCCGTTTATTGGGACCTGATGAAATCCAGTTTCATCACATTTTTGTTAAAATAGAGTAATTGCTTTAATGGGTCCAAACAATTGTTTAACGTTCATCGCTAAAACACCACTAAATCTTAGCCACAGTTTTCAAAAATGAATGTTCATCTATCCTGTTTCTTAATTTGCCCTTTGGAAATATATATTGATGATTGCAGAGGTGAAGACGTTATTACCGAGTGACAGTGTAAATGAGGAATATGGTAGATTCCTCTGTATCTCTCAGGTTTCTCTTAAAACCTCCTCCAGATTGTAAATATGAGATCAAGAGGCAATGTTGGTTATAGTGGCTATAGTGCTTGTGGAGAGAGAACACTGAAACTCTGTGTGTGTTTTCAAAGGGTTGCAGACTTTATAGGTATATGACCTACCTTATAGGTTATCTAGCCCAGTCATTCCTCTGCGAGCAATCTGTTCCATCCCTGATCACCTCCACTCATGTGGAACTCATTGCCTCCTAGTCATCCTATTTACCTGCAATTTTCTTTGAATGTACATTGTCATATTGAGCCAAGATTCTGCCTTCCTGAAATGTTTGCCAGTGCAAGCTCATTCCATCTAACTATTAAAAAAAAAAAATTAAATCCTCTTCCACAAGAACATAGTCCTTCAAAAGACTTCTCTCTTCTTCCCCCAAACACATACTTTGGTCTCCAGGTATTAGAGCCTCAGTTGCTTAATTCTTCCTATGACTTAGACTTGAGGTCTTTCATTATCTTGGCTTTTGTCCTGAAACAATTCTAACATATTAATAAAAATGATATTTGATACCATGAAATAGTATTTTCTATGTCCTGAAGCATCTTGTACATATAATCTGATTTCTGATTTAATTTCTATAATAATTTCATGAGAACCTTGCTCTCAGTTCAGGGTCTTTATCGAAACAGTTCTTTCTATCTAGAACACTCTCTCCTCAGCTTCCTGATGACTGGGTCTTTGTCCTTCAGAACCCAGTGCACATGTTACCTCCTCAAGGAATCTACTTTTCAGGCAGCCACTGCTATTGCTTTCTTCCCCCACTGACTTTCTCTATCACATCAACTTATTTCTTTGCCTTCGTGGCATTGACACTCTCTGAAATTATCTTACGTCTTTGTTTATGTATATATTAAACAGTTAAAATGCACCAGAAAGGGTAAATAAGGATAGGGACCTAGTCTGTCTAGCAATTGCTGTATCCAGCATCTTGTACATACTAAATGGTGACCTGTGTGGGGCCCAGAGTTGAGCTCTGTTTTCCTTAATAATTCTATCTGTATTTGTCCCCAGTATTTTTTCAGCATTTCCCATAAAATATCTGCTTAATTCAGACATACATATATGGACAAAAATAATCAACAGAATTCTCTACTTGTTTCTTATGGTAGGAGCTGGGTATGGATTTTATGTTAAATTAATTATTGATAGTCTGTGGAAGCAAAACCCATGCTGCAAATTTACAAATGAGGCAAATCAGTTTTCTGAGGTTCGGTCTCCTGGTAAAGGTTCCCAGACTTTACTATGTGAAAGAAATGTTTGAGAAGTGATTAAAAATGTAGATTTCCAGGCCTCACCTCTTAAATTTTGTTCAGTAGGTCT